TTCAATTTTATTTGGTATGCATTTGTAGCAACAGCATGATAACATTTATTTGTTTTTATTTGCGTTTTATATTCATATTGATAATTCACGTTTTGTCTTGGATAATAAAGCACGGTTATGCATAATAAATTGTATGCATAATAAATATTCACTATCACTGTATGAGGTAAGAATCAACAGCTTTTTATCACATTTACACAACACTTTATGAATAAAAGTCATGAACAAATCTTAAATATGGCAGGGAATGTGTTTACTTTTTTAGTTTTGATTTTGAGCAGCAAATTTGGAGTTACATATTGGTGCTCACCAGGAATGCAGAGGCAAAATTGCACAAATTTTCACTTGAAAGAATAGTGGCGATCTTGGGATTTTTTTCTGTTCAGTTTTCAAACTGTGTAAATTTAATACACTTCATCTTCAGCATGTTTAGTGCCACTTTTGTAAGTAACCACGCCCCCGTCCAGGCCACGCCCCCGTCCAGGCCACGCCTCTTCCGCTTTTTTCATCACTCGCCATTGCCATGTATGTATATACTGTATAGGAAATACCCCGAAAAGAAGTCTAGTGAATGATTCGTAAACTCATTAGTTGATTACGGATTACCACAATTTCTCATATTAGGGATGGTTATTGAATTGAATTGAATACAACTTTGTTGTCAAATGTGCTGTACGTCTGTGTAACATGTTACAATCTTATTGTGTTCCAGTTGAATTACGTGGAGGGAAAAATGCTGCATACCAACATTTTTATTAAGATGTTGTCCTTCTCAAGCCCGGTAGAGACACAAAGTAACCATTTTATGTTTTTAGATTAATTGCATAAATATCCAGTGCTGTTCAAAAATCAGATGGACAATGTTAGCGCAAAATTTAACAACTGAGTATGAAACATGCCGATGAGAGAAGTAAGCTACATGACAAAAATCTCTATTTGCTTCAGGACAGTTGAAACCACAAGAGGAAAAAAAATGAAGAAACTAGGTAGCGAGCGCTTGTACGTGAATGGTCAAGTAGTCGAACATTGGCGAATCAAGAACTTTGGTGACATGTCATAAAACCATCGACAAATGCTTCCGATGGTTTTGCAAACACTTGTCATTGTCCACGAAACAATGCATTGCGACAAAAAAAAAAAAAACTGCAATCTTTTACGAAGCTTGACGAAACCCCAAATTCACAATGTTCTCGCTCAGTCAGACATGGGCTTAATCAAGGGCTTTAAATATGATTTGGTCTGATGGGTGGGATAAATTTTATCATAACAATTCAACGTTGCGCGTAGAAAAATTGCCAAGACTGCTACTTATCCAACATCTTTATTTATGAAGTACCTTTTTTTGAAAAGAAATGTACAAGTGGAACCGGTACAGTGACATCTTGCTGTGGCGCGCTTATGAAATGTTAATGTACATATTTACATCAAACGGGCTATGATCGCGAAAAGTGAGTTTACCACATCTGAAGTGGAGAAAAAAAAGTGAAAACAAAGAAATCACAATTTTCTTCTTCCCTATAAACAAAAAAGATACAATAAAAAGGCACTGTATTTTTCACAAACAAGAACGAGATGTTAGCTAGCATGAGAAAAGAAAATCCACTGGAAACGTTGTTACAAAGTACAGAACATGCTTGTTGATTATTGAAATTATTTTTTTAATAAACAAATCATGTTTAAAAATTCAGAAAGGCATAAGTTTAAGTCAGATTGGAATCTCGACGTTTTCCCCCACCGACTTCTTCAGAGGTCCACACATTCAGATACAATTTTTTTCCATGTTAAACCTTGGCACGCATACGTGTGCACACCTGCATACATTTGATGTCCCAAAAAAAAAAAAAAAAAAAAAATAGATACATTCACCATCCGAAATTCAGGTTGACATACGGACAAATTTGCTTCTTTCTTACCCCCCCTCCCCTTGAGGACGGGCAAATTTTCATTGCCAGCCCAACTGCTTTTTTTCTGCCAATAATTATCATTTTTTAAATGTTGTTTTACAGAAGAAACCCTGCAAACTAGCGCTTTTCATCCGACAAAGTAAAAAAAGCAAATGTCGTTGCTGTCCGCTAAAACGGATCCAAATTTTTGTCCCAACGGGTATGTGCCGCAAAAACTCAAGCAGACGTACACTGTTTTGAAAGCATAAATGTTTTGCGAGTTTTGGATCTAAAATGACAACAAATTTCTGTGGCCCAAAAATTTGAGCATACTTGCTTTTATAAAAGGACAGAGTTGCTCTTTGTTTTCAGACATACAGTATTGTCAAATAAGATGAGCTAAAGACTAGTTATTCCAAATGAATCATAAATCAGTGATTGTTTTTTCTTTTCAACACCCCCCCCCCCCCAAAAAAAGAGGATTTTACAGCATTGAGCTTTCTTTTTCATAATGCATTTTTTGTCTGGTCCGACATACTCGGAAGCCACTTACAGTCCGAAGAACACGGATAAAGGACAAAAATGTGAGTGGTGAAAAAAATTGAACACATGCTGTTTTATCGGACGGCAACTATTTGCATTGTCGGCAGCGAGTCAAAAAATGTGAATGGTTGAATCAAAGCAGTTTTGGGGATTTGAACAACACTCTGTGGCGTTCATCTTACTAGCTCCTAGCGATTAACAGGACGCAGCATCGCATTCTTTGGCTGGATCGGATGAAGTTTGCCACTAACTTAATCTTTTTCACGATGAGAGGGCATAAAAAAACGGTTGTGTAAGCTACTGAATCAGGGCTGAGGTGGCAGGAAAGAACGGATTTAGATTGAGACAGAGGAAAAAGAAAAAAAAAGTATACGATAATACAACATTTACGCGGGAGATATGTCCAAACTAGGCTGCATTAATAGTACCACACCTTGTACATACACAATTCAGATATCGATTTCAACACAACAAAACAAAACGTAGCTTTGGTTGGTAAACACATTGTATGGAGAACTTGACCGGTCGCCCACGTGGCGTCCCGCAAATGGAGCGGAGGAGGTGCGCGCTTACTTCCCTTTGAACCCCCGCCCGCGCCGAGCACCTAATAGTAGGTTTATGGATGGTGGAAAGGTTTTCTTGGGTTTCCGTGGTCGTGTAGCAGCATCGTTAATAATGATCTGGAGAACAAGAGGAAGACAACATCACCCCCGCTATTTTGTCCACGGCGGCGGCCACTTTTGAGCAAGGTGGCGAATCCTCACTCGGAGCTAGAGATCCCTTCAAGCTCCACATGCTGCTTCTCCTTCCGTTACCCACCCACCCCCAACCTTCTTAACTCCTCTTCAGTCCACCTTCTCCACCTTGCCGATGATTTTCTCCTCAAAGATGGGCAGGATTGCGTCGTTGTCGCGCACCTCCTCGAACACCACACCACAGTCAAACTCGTCGCTCACCTTCTTGAAGTAAAACCTTGAGGAAAGAGAGAGAGCGAGACGTGTTAGTCAGGGAAGCGCACCTATTTATACTTCATTTTCAGCCAGCAACAAAGACGCTTGGCGAGGAGGTTAGCTAGCACTAAAAGCAGAAAGACCTTTTGGCGGTGTAGAAGGGAAGAACTTGTGTTCATGACAGTTTCACAAACAGTGCAGCGGGTCGTTTTACAAACCACAAATCTCATGCAACTGCGACCATTGTTGCACGTGAGGCCGCACATGACTTCTGCCAAATCACGCGACACTCAACTCTCTTTGGCTGTGTTAGCCACTAGCTGGATAGTTTGGAGTGTTGCTCAAAACAGCAAATTCCACCTTCCACCTCACCTGTAGTGGCCTTTTTTGGTGAGCAGCTCCTTGAACTGGCCCAAAGTCACCACACGGCCCTTGACAGAGGTCCGGTACGGGATGGGCTCTCCGCAGAAGTAGTAGGCCACCGTCATGTTCTCGCACACTTGCCGCTTCGCAGACTTGTGCCTTCAGACGAAAACCACGCACATGAGTCATATGACATCACACAGTATGTACACATTAACGCTTGAGAGCGCCACCGAGAGGCCCACCTCTGCTTGGTCTGCTGCAGCGCCGCCCTCCGCCTCTCCTCCTCCAGCCGCCGCCGGGCCTCCTCCAGCTGGGTGAGTGGGTTGGGGGCCGGGTTGGGCGGCATGGCGGGGTCCTGGATGAAGGGATGCGAGGGCTGCACCTGCGCCGCCGAGGGCGTGGAAGGGTGCGCCGCCAGGGCGGTCGACGGCGAGGATGGGTTGTTGCGCAGTTGGGCCGACACCCACGGATGGACGGCCCCGGGGCGCTCCACCGAGGTGGGCCGCGGCGACTCGCTGCTGCCCCCCGTCCGCCGTGAGCTGCTGGTGCTGCCGCTGCAAAGGGACACGGATGACATTTAGTGCAAATTTATACGCTCCCATGCATTTTGTACACACAGTGGACCATTCAGATTCTTGACATACTCTTAGCCACGTACTCTCAGCCGGAGTCGGTACAAGGAAGCTTTTTGAGAGCAAAATGACTTCATTTAGATGTTAGTATCAGGCACAAAACCTTTTTATTTGGATCTTCAGCAACTGGTGTTTTAGCATTTGAGTCAATCTGTTTGTGTATGTTTAGTGTCAAAGTGCGGTTATAATATCGGGAGGGCTCACCCGTGGGAGCTTTTCCTTTGCCTGTCTCCGTCCATCATCCACTGGAGGATCTTCTGGTTCCTCTCCAGATCCTCCAGCGGCACCTGCGCATCCATCCCGCGGCTGCCGTCGTCGCCTTTGCCCGACGCCTCAGACGGCTTTTTGCCTCGCCTTGACAGCGTGCTTCCTTTACTACTGCAAAACAAATGCAAACCGGTTGGAATAAACCAGAAACACATCAGAAGACATTTCGGGGGGGAGGGGTCTTACTTGCAGCCCATCCCGTCTAGGGTGCTGGCCCCGGCGCCGTCGGCGTAGTTTCGACTCCTGGCAGCGTACTGGCCGGCCGGCTCGCCGTTCCACAGGAAGTTGGGCTGCGACCTGGAGCCCGCCTCTTCCTGTCCTTCTCGTCCTCGGTGGTGGTACAGCTGCTTGTGGTGATGGATTCCTGACAGAAAGAGTGAGTAGATGTTGCTTGTTTGGACTGGGTTTTCGTGCGTCAAGCGACAATCAAAGCAAACCAACTATTAAAAATGATTAGCAAAAGGTAAGTGATTGTTAAGCACAACAAAAAAGTTATTTGGATGCAATTGTATCTCTCCGAAAGCATGTCCACGGGAAAGAGACTTCCGTTTTAGCCTGTATCACACTCACCTTTGAGAACAGCAGCAGGCAGACTGTGTCCTCCCGCTCTGTGCGACGGGTAGTGAGGTAGCCCGATGCCCCCGTCAGGTGACCGCGAGGATTTGGGCGGCGTCTGTCGGCCGCCGCCTCCCAAGGCCACGTTGGTGGCGCCCGGCGACTGACAGCCCGGCGTCTTCATGACCCGCTGCACGTGCTCATCCAAGATGGACTCCGGGTCGTCGTCGTGCGAGTCCCCCATGGCCACCAGGCCGCCATAGGCGGCGACTGTCGCCGTGTTGGCGGTGGTCTCCGAGTAATGGGCGCCGTAGAGGGGCGGGAAGGACGATGGGAGAGGGAGCGAAATGCTGTGCGACGACATGGAGGTGGTGACGGAGACGTCGGCGTCGTCGCCCTCCTCTTCCTGTTTTGAGTCACATGACCATGCCACGCGTATTGAGGTTTATTCCAATGAGCACCGAGTGAAATGGCCACCTGTGTTGAGGCTCACCAATCGTACTCTCTTCAGCCTCTCTTCCAGTCGCTCCTCAGCCTCCCGCTCTCGGAGAACCATCTCCAGCCTCCGGATGAGCTCGGCTGCAAACCTCTCAGGCTCGACGTGGATGTCCTTTGGCATGCGATACGTGCGCTGCGTGGCACGCGCGAACACACAGGTAGAGATTGATACACTTTATTTTGTTGTTCTTGTTTTTTTTGTTTTAATATTTAAACATTTTTCTTAGTTTTTGCATTATTTTTCAATACTGTATTTCCTTGACTTGGTAGCATTGTTGCCTAAACCACATTTCAATATATATATTTTTGGATTGCTTTGGTGACAGTATGTTAAAAATTTAGACATGTAGATTGCTTTTTAATTAATATTTTAGGTTTGTTTTTTTCCCTCTAACATTTGTAACAATGTTTGTATTTTTATCTCATCGATTTTTTTTAAATAAAAAAAGCAAATGTATGACAATCACCCAGGGCCGAGAAAATATACTCACAGGTATATGAGGTAGGGGCACACGTCCGTTAGCTTTGGCACTTTCATGCATCTCCTTGCGATACCGCTTCCGATATTGGTAAGGAGGAATACCATCTCTGCACGCACAAATGAAAGGCCAGGAATTCAACAATCGTGACAACGGCAACGGGGAACTAAGCGATGTGGACTTACACACTGCTGTCGGTCAGAGACAGCGTGTCGGCGTCGCTCGACATGCTCTGCTGCTCGCTGTCATTGGCACTCGTGGCTGGGGCGCAGGCGTAACCAACGTTGGCGTAGTACGGGTTCACCGGTTCTCTCCAGGGTCTGACAATAGACAAACACTGTTGTTGTTATTGTAATTATTATTACTATTATAAGTATGTTAGTGTGTAGGTGCATTAATTAATCAATTAATCACCAACTCATCAATCAACAAATTACTCAACAACCATTTTGCTAATCGATTGACTGATATCTTCGTGTTGAACCAAAATAAGACAATTGCAAAAATACGCTTTGACCTGTGGAAAAAAAATGATAAAAAACGATTCTTTGACATGTTTCTAATCAAAACAGTAATCGACTCATAATCAATGATTTTTAAAGAATTGATTAACATTAGTGCTGTCAGTTTAATGCGTTATTATCAGCATTAATATAAAAGCACTTTAACGTGATAAATGTTTTTATCGTGAGATTAATGCGACACCACATCATAGCGGATGTTATGTTGCTCTAAAATAATAAAATGTGCTCCAAGTGAAAAATGTGAATGTAAAATTGAAAATCGAAATTATTGTTTCAGTAAATATTTGAATTTTGCACAAAGAAAACTGATCCACGATTCCATGTTAATGAGTGCATCAAAATAGGGAAAAAAAAATAGAAGAAAAAGAAATCAAAGGAAATTTAGAATAGGTAAAAAGCTGTGATTAATTACGGACAATTCTGAATTAACTACCGGTATGTAGTTATAAATTTGATCGCAATTAAATATTTTAATCATTTGACAGCACTAATTAACATACTATGAAAAATAAACGGGGTGGCCGAGTAAGTAGCATCAATAAATGGAGTGGGGGTTCTCTGTTTTGAGCTTCTGGGCATTGCGTTGCCTATGGCAGCTTCTTGCGACAGTTAACATTTTGATGTTTGATCCCATTCAAAGGGAATCACAGGACCCTAATTGCTCCACTTTCTTTTTCGTTACGCTCGAGCAGCGGCGTATCTGACGCTCACTCACGACACGAAGCCCCCTCCCAAAATAAATCAATAAATTACTTAGCAGCAGCTTATAACTTCAAGAATTTGTGAATTGGGGCAACCACGAATGTGAGGATAGCGCCGCACATTACTGGAGGTCCCAACGAGACCCACCTGTACTCCCTGGTGTCTTGCCGCCGCCTGCCGGTGGAGATCCTCTGCGGTACGGTCTGCATGAGCAGACTGTGGGTCAGCCTTCCCGCCGGCGTGTCCCCGCACTCCTCCTCCTCTTGCTCCGCTTCCCTCTGCCCACCTCCACACCTTAACGCAAACATTTTATTCACTTGTAAAAAACAGGCGTCTTAACAACATGTCTGTGGCATGCTTTTGTGAGAAGAGGTACAACTTCTCCCCGTTTTAACTCGCTTGTGGTGAAACCGGCTCATTTACGGGGCAGATCCATCTTATGCAGTGTGCCGACCCTCATCCTGCTGGGTCACACTGCTTGTGTTAAACCTTGTGTTGCGATCACATTTTAGAGTAGCCTGAATAGCAACAAATACAAAAGACTTGGGAATTTAAATAAGGACACTGAGCTGTTCTAGAAATTGTGGTATCCAGTGATGTATTTTCGGGGTGTTCGCAGAACTAGCGAGCTAACTGCGCACACAGTAGTTGAACTCGTGTAATTTAACAAAGTTACCGTATTTTAATGACTGTGAGACGGGCACGTCTAAAATTTTCTCCAAAATGGACGGGTCGCCTCGTGTACGCCTCGAGTTCCCAAATCTGTGAATGCTGTTGTGTGATTAGACAGATATTGTGCTGACATGTTGCTTATATCGAGGAAAGGCGGACATAATTGAGGACGTTGTGCATTTGTGAAAGTGGGAAGTGGGTGGACGTGAAAGTAGACGCGAAAAGCACACCCCCAGTAGGTGCGGGTATGTGCATTGTACAAAACAACACCCCGAAAACGGCACCTATGAAGAGACACGCTTACGAAGCACTTAAACGGCAAGCAATCAGTTCTGCCGAGGACCATGGGAATCGAGCGGCCGCGAGAGAGTTCAAGAGCAACTGATCCACGGTGCTTTTGTTTCATAAAACGCCATCTATCCATCCGGGCAAGGACGACTGTGGCGCAGCAACATCCGGCGGATGACAAAGGAAGAGCTGGCCATATTCCGCTCCCACTGCAGTAAAAAGTGTCATGTTCTGTGTTACATTCAATAAAGACGCTTTCTTGGAGATTTTAATCCTTTAAATTCTGCTGCTTCACCTGCCTTCCATTACCGACTGTTCTCTCAACCAATCGCCACATTCCTAGTTTCCCCACTTGGGCTACGGTAAAGTGATGAGGGACAACAACACATCCAGCCCAACCACATCACCGACACAGACGAGGTGCCGCTCACTTTCGACATCCCGGCGAACCACACGTTAGAGCAGGGGACCAGCACGGTAGCGATAAGCAACTATCTTCAAACATGAAGAACGCGAACATATTTAGAAACAACTCTCGGAATTCACTCGACAGTGGATTTACTTCTGGTGTCATTTTATGCTTGATGGTCGGACAGCCACTACAGACACACGACTATCGGTATCCCCAAATCAATTTGCTGCCCTACATCCCGTTTCAAGGAAACATTTTGGCTGGAATTTGTGAATGTGAAAAGGTGGAGGACAACACCGATCTTGCCTCCACTCCTCGCCTTCCGTCAGTGTGGGCAAGCAGCCCGGAGCGGGCTTGGCGGGCCCCGACGACGGGCTCTGGTCGTTGGAGTTCAGCTTGGGGCTCTCGCCGCCGGTGCGCGTGTACTCCAAGTACAGGTCAGACTTGAGGAACAGAGGGTAGGTGTTCTCCTCCATAGTGGCCTGGATCTCCGTCTGGGCCTGCGACACAAGAGCGATGCTATTCAGTGTAAATATGAGATATTGTTCATTGACTGGAAGATGGAAGGAATGAAATCAGTCTCCAAGAAGCTTTATAGCTTTCACGTAAGAGTAAAATGTCTTTCAAGACTCGTTGACGTCAGTTAAAGGCCAACAGCGACATTATTTTTAATGCCTTAATCAGAGGTCGGCCAAGAGATGATTAAAACAACAAATAAACACACGCACTGCTGCCAAACCAAACGTCAATTCAATTCCATTTTCTTTTAAGTACACTGGAATCAAGATGGAAGCGGGGGATTTTTACGCCTTTTGCGTCACGGCACACGACTTGAAATCTGCTGAGCTTGAAGTGGAACTGACCGGTGAAGGCGAAGGTTAAGCACAAGACATTGAATTGAAGCCAAGCACCAAAATTCAGGAGAGAAGTTGCGCCATATTCACGCAAAGCTGAACTTACTGTGACTGAAATGTGACTTTTCTCTTCTTATTATTTTTATTTTTATTACCTTTTCAGATTTTCCCCAAAACACAGCGTTTCTGCTCCACAGTAGCCGGACAAATTCACACGGCTCAGACATGCTCAGGAAGAGGTGCCTGCTTTTTAATATATGTCACATGCAAAGTGGCCTGAGGCAGGAGTAACTTGCTGCTGTTTTTGTAAGACAGACGTCCACAAAATCACAGTTTGGACCCCCTACAGCTGGGGTTTCAAACTCAAATATCTTTCAGCGATATTTTGCAGCCCCTTAATTGACATCAAAGTTGAATGTGGTTTGTTTTTTTTCTCTCCACTTTAAGGCTACCATAGCTGAGGCTCATGACAGCTTTGGGTGAAACGTATTTCTCAAGTAATACCAAGTGGAAGGAAAGGAGATAGAGACATATGTCAATTGTTTTGTCGAAATTTACAAAATACAACAGAGACTATTCCGCATAGTAACGTCCAGTAATATTTCAACACTCATATATGATATGACAACAGCAATCTCGTTACCTCTGCGTCCCACGTCCTATACGCAGAATTTTCCCGCCAGACGCAGTTCCAAATAATGTGCGCTTTTGGGACGCGAGGAAATTTCTCAGTCGGAAAAAAAAAAAAAGCAGCAAAAAAAAAACCTCTGGTCAATATTTTTTTCCAGCAACGATCGCAGTTTGATCATCGCCGCCATTGTTGTTTTGATCTCGCGTGACGAGATTTCCATTCTCGCGAGACGAGATTGGCGACCTTCACCGCGTGGAAAGCAGACGATTGCCAAGTCGTGTAACGTTAAAACAAGTGTTGCCAGCAATTGTTGCGAAAGTTTATTGCGGAGATATCCCAGAGGAAGCAGCTAAAGTTGGATAATTTTTTGCGATAATAATCTTGTATGCCTGAATTATTTAAAATTTTGCCGCATTTGTTTATCAGAAATAAACCTATTATCAATGTATATTGTTGTTGTTTGTGTTATTATCATATGCAATTGAATGAGTAGACTATTTCAGAATTCGAAATTTGGGACTCTCTCAATGCATAATGGGACTCATGCTTCAGACAACAAAGTGTATGCAGAAAAGTGGTGAAGATTGCACGACTGTCTTGTGTCCTATGTGTTGTGTTGTGTTATTTTTGTTATTTTGACTTCAAAATCCCGCCGCGAGAGTGGCTGCCTTTCCAGCAGCTCCTATATTTTGTTGTTCTACTTCTTCCTTTCATAACTTTGCTGCTGTGAATTGGGAATTTCTCCATTGCGAGACTAATAAAGGTTTTCTTATCTTATCTTATCTTATACTTTTCTGATCAGCGAGTCCCTGGGATTCGCAGGGCTCAAACTGTAAAATTATCACTGTGACTATGTCATCAGGTCGGCCGGTGACAAATATCATCAACTCAAGTGCAACTGTGATCTGGGAACTCACTCTTTCGGTGAAAGGAGAACCTAGCGGTAGACCAGAGAGAGTGCTCCCAGGCTCTGAGCCAGTCAGACTCTGTCTCTCATAACGCAACAGGTTCTACAATAAGACGGAAAAGGGCACAGACATGGTTACATGAAGTGCTGACAGGAGAGGATGTGGTCACGTTACCACTGCTGCTGGCTGTTGGTAAGTACTCCAGAGCGTGACCATCATCAAGTTATCGCAGGCCATGTGTGCAAATGCTTTTGCATATTGATTGAGTTTCCTCCCTTAGACAAAATGCTAATATAGTTTGTAGGGATCGCAAGTTATCCTGGTTGTCATGCTTTCTTGTAAAATGTCAACAAACTTTGGAGCCAGCCTTCGGCGCCATGTTTCTGGCCAGCCACACTTGTAAATAGCGTTGCGACGTAACACGCATGGTGGCATCGTTCGCCTCGACTGGAATCGATAAGGGATTCGTTTGCAAGAAGGGCAGGATTTGAAACTCTGCGAAGCGGTTCATCGATGCAACGTCAGTGTGGAAAAACGAACCTGTTCAAACATGGCGAGGTCGGGATTCGGCCTGCCCACGCAGTCTCGTATGAAGCTCTTGGTGGCCGGCTTGATCTGCCTGGAGACGATGCCGCCGCCGTCCACGATGTACTTCCTGTAGATGGCCTTGGCTAGCTTGGCCCGCTTCTCCGGGCTGGTCTTGCGGAACCCCGAGCACGCGAACCAAAAGTCCAGCAGGTCGGCGCAGCCCTCCTGGCACAGAAAGTTGCGGAACAACTGGATGCCCTCCTGGTCGTCCAGCAGAGAGTGGAGCGACTCGGCCCACTTCAGGTAGGGCGGCGTGGGCGAGGCCGAGCCCTCCGGTTCATAGCCCAGATCCAGGTCGGGCCGGCGTGGCGTCGCAGATGACGACGAGGAGGGCGCGTAGCCGGACGAGTCTGCCGTCTTGGCGGAGAGGGAGAGCGGGAACCCGGGAGCTTGCGAAAGCGTGCCGGGACGGCTGGCTGCCGACTGCGCGGGCGGCTCCACGTCGGAGCCCTCCTCGCCGGGGACCGGCGGCCGCGGCGCATCTTCTGTGAAATGGGTCAGGCCGCCGAGCGGGGCCGCCACCCCGCCGCCGCCTCTGAAGCCGATCCCGTGTAAGTCCCTGACAACGTTCATGTCTCTGGTTGCGCGCAGCAGAGGTCACAATTGCCCCCGTAGCGATGATTTTGTAAGCAAACAAGTCACCCTGCAAAAAGGGAGACGAGAATAGCGGTTGTTGTCACAAAGGAAATCATTTGGGGGAGGGGCGGTGGGGTGCTGTGAAATCTATTATTACAGCAGGACCTTCACAGATAACATTATGAACCATTCTCTTACGTTGTGGGACAAACAACAACTTTTTTTTTTCCAAACGAGTGAGTACACTTTCACCAACTTTATGGCTGACAAACCCCCCATCAAAAATTTCCAGGTGAGAAAGAGGATTTTTCAAATGTAGAAGCGCATCTTTATTATATACCTTTTTTTTCGCTATACTTCTTCCAACTGTAATGTAAAACCGCTCAATCCCAGACATAATTTCTGGAACTACCGCTGCTGGCCAGATCTGCCATGATGGCTCATATTTTCCGCCACTTCCATCGCTAATTTCATCAACTCAAATGCCTCTTGGCTGTGCTGTCTTTATTCCTTCCTATGTATTCTAACAGGCCAATGAGTGTTTGTTAATTTCTCGACTCTTGGTATTTTTCTATGCATGTTTGAGTTTCAGAAAAAATTGTTCTGGCTTGTGAAAAATGTGTTTTACGCGTCCATTTTTTTTTTTTTAGAAATGATATCAGTTGAAGCTCCACTGTCGCCTCGTTTTTAATTAGATGATTGTCATGCAGGATTTGGATATTTAATGCAGGCACGGAGGGATAACTCATCTATGACGACCCAACAAGTGTTGACGGTGAATTGCAACATTTATATCGATCTATCCTGACCAATTTTGATGATTTTAGGGGACGTGCTAACAAAGTTACATCCAATTTGTACTTTACCAAAATTTGTGTCACCCTAAACTTAATTGGGGAGAGACGCAGGGAACCCGTCCGCCCGGATAAGGCAGCCGTCCGTTGGCAATGTTGGTGTGGGAATCTCCGGCAGTGGAAAAAATGAATAAAAAGATTTTAATTTTGTTGTCATGGCCCTACAATATGGTGTAACTATCAGAAAGTGAGAACATTGGGAAAAGCTGTTATCTTGGTTTTATTTTATTTCTACATTTTAAAGGGCCTATAGGCCTTTTAAAATGGAGAAATAAAATAAAACCAAGATATATATAGTTAATAAGTAATGCTTTTATTTATGACATAGGCCTGTGAAATAAACACAACATTGGTGTTAATGCTGCAACCAATACAAGAATAGCCGGAAAGGTAGCCTTGCTAACTAAACAATAGCACGGCTGCATTCTCTGCAGTAGTGAGAGTTAGCTACAATCAGAACAAGTTTGCGAGCAGAGAGCGTTCTATGAACTCCCGCCGACTAAGGTCGAATATTGAATTGGAAAGAAAAGTGAGAAAGAATCACATTTTGGAGTAAGTAGTAGCATTTGTAAACCAAAAACAACGCGTCGTAAGTTAGGCGAAATTTGCTATTAAGCTAGTGCTACTTAGCACGGAGGGGGGTGGGCTAGGTGGCTAACTAGCCTTGAAGCTGTGCCCACCAACAGTGTGCCATGCCAAGGCTTTGAAGTGAGAATCTCATTCATCTTGGGCCTTGCGAGAGGGGCGGTGCGTGTGTGGGGGGGATGGGGGGCGACTCCGGCAACAAACTCCACAACTACACAAAACGGCCTAAACGAGAATCAAAAACCAACCAGCCTCCTCCTCCACTCTTCCTCCAATAACCCCGACACCACTTCTTTCACGGTCGATAATTTAATGGAGGGGGGGAAATAAAACTTCCAAAAAGTGCTCAAACTCGCTACAGATGCGAACAAAACAAAAAGCGGAGCGGCACGTTTTCCACTCAGGCAGCTAGCCTGTTAGCTACCCTAGCATGCTAGTTAGCATTAGCTCCGAGAAGACACACACACACACACACACACACACACACAGTGTTTTTCTACTTCACGTACACAAAAAAGTCTTACCGTCTCTGAGAGACCGTTCCCCGTGTAGTGCCGCATTGGGGATACTGGCACCGAGTATGTACTCCGCAAGGCGGCATGAGGAAGGCTTCATTGGCGTCAATGTAGGGGCAAAAGAAAAAGAAACGAAGCCGACGTCTTTGCCCCCCCCCTCCCTAACTCAACTCCCCATGGTGGCAGAGTGGCTACACCGCGAGCGAGAGGGGGGGGGGGGGGG